TAGGATAGGCCTATGGATAGCGCTAGGCATAGGCCTAGGATAGGCCTATGCCTAGCCTTGGCATAGGTCTAGGATAGGCCTATGCCTAGCCTAGGCATAGGCCTATGATAGGCCTATGGGTAGCGCTAGGCTAGCTCCCTAGGCCCCTGGGATAGGGGCTACCCTGGCTCGAGTATAGGGGTAGCTGTGGGAGTTCTGTATGCTTAAAACATGTTTCTTTTTGTGGCAGTCAGGTGATTCCGGTTCCCGGCTCTGTTTTGAGAGTCGGTCTCAGGGAGACCTTTGGTGCAACTGGGCGGCAAAAAGGTTTTGGGCAAGATGAGTCAGATGAGTTTAATTCTAATTGAGTTTATATAATTCTAATTACTGTAACCTTAATTACTAATTCTTGTTACTACTAGTAAGGCACTTGTTACTAGTAGCGATGCACTTGTTCCTAGTAGCTTATTTTGAAAAGGGAAAGAGTGGAGAAGGTGCTTTGGCTGTAGGAGCGGTTGCATTACTTCAATCTTTTTGTTGTCAACTGAAAAAGGAGCACATCGGGATTGGAGCGGAATCCGCGTGGTGCGTTTCAGAGTCTCTCCGTTGCGACAGGCACCTAACCCTGGTTGGATGCAGTGAGCTCCTGAGTCTGGCGGACTCGCTCTTGTTTGAAGAGCCCCTAATAGCGTCCGATCGCTCCTAGTAGCGATGCCCTTTGCTCCTAGTAGCTTCTTTGCTCCTAGCAGTAAGGCCAGGAGCCCCTAGTAGCTTCTTGCTCCTAGTAGCCATGCCAGGAGCGCCTAGTAGCTACGAGAATGCCACAGCTACCAAGTCTAAGATGTGCCCAAGAGTTGCTTTCATGCCAACATAGTATGGGGTGAGAAAGGCAGTGCGGCTTTCCTCTAGTTCTGCCACCATGGGGAAACCTGGGCTAGTAGGTTGGAGGCCATCGCTACTAGGTTGGAAGGCATCGCTATTAGAAACAAGAAAGGTCTAATATGGTATGCTATTGTGCGGAAGGTACGATGATGAGGCGTGACCGGGGTCCGGCGACCGTACTGGGACACAACATCGAGTTGCACTGTGTTTGTGCTGGGGTCACGCTAAATCTTTACAGCTTCCACCGCCTGCAACTCATGAGCCGAACTTTTACTTGCATTTGCTCACCTTGCCCTGACTGAAGTGCAAGGTAGTGCCATGCACATTCAGCCATTCAGCTGTTTCGGGAGGCCATCGCTAGTAGGTTGGAGGCCATCGCTATTAGGTTCTTCTTTATCAAGTTCTTTTTTTTGTTTGTGGTGGGCTTTCTACTTAAACAATCACTCGAGCAGGTCCTTCCGGTTTCCTGCTTACCTTCTGACTCCCAGTTTCGTTGCTTTTGGATACCCTGAAGTTTTGCTCTTTCTGTTTTCTTCTTTTCCGGGTTCTGGGGTTTGTATTTCGTGATCTTTACTTTGCGGGTTGTTTGCGCTTCCCGATTTCCGTGTTCTGGCCAACACAAACAGTCAGCCCAAACCATTTCACACACACTCATGCGAGTGCCCGCTGCTTTGCTTGCTTTTGGGCCCAATTCTGTCCTGCTTTTCCAACCCAAACAAGTGTGCTGCGAAAGTAGCTGGGTAATGCGCGTGGTGCGAGGGTTGCCAAGTTGGATTTGAGGCTGGAATGAACATATTAAAGGGGGACCATTGAAACCACAGCTGTGATGGGTCTTACTGGTTGCTGCGGTTGCGGTTCACGTTATTCCTAAGCCATTGCTACCGCCATTGCTGTGTCAGTCACTGCTAGTATTCGGGATTCCGATTTTGTTTTCCGTGTTCCTTCAAGCTGCGTCTGCACGGTTGCATGAGTTCTTCCACGGCAAGATGTTGTGAAGCAAACTTCGTATTGTTTCGGGAAACTATGTCTATATATAACGTCTCTCGTTTGTGACCTCAAGAGACCGTGGAGTGGAGTCCTGTCTGCCAATGCGCGTTATATAAATATGTACATAGAACCCCTCTGAACCAGTCAATATATATTATTCAACATATTAAAATCGAATCGGATCTGCGTTGCTTTAAGAGTAGTCTGGGTGACGCTTTTGGGCTTTGCTCGAAAGGTGAGCTAATTTGGAGCCGAATCAGTTCGCAGTTCGCCCGACGTCGCAGGTTGAATTGGACGATGATGGATATGTCGTGCAAATTGTGGAGCCCCCAGAGGGCCCCAGAAGCAGTAACAAGTGCCACGCTAGTAGTAACAGGCGCTTGAGATCTCTCAGTTGGGTGTGGATGGGAACCAAGCAAGCCACCCGACGCAATACCCACACCTTTTTTCCCGAAAGCATTGCGAAGGGTTCTTCCGGAAAATCCTTTGAACACTTACACTTCGACACTTACACTTACACACACACACACTGGAAGAGCGAAAGCATCCAAGTGCGAAGTATGCCAGTGTCAAAGTATGCAAGTGTAAGTATGCAAGCATGATATGCAAGGGTGAGTATGCAAGCACGCAATGAGTATACAAGCATGCAATGAGTAGGCAAGTGTGAGTATGGAAAACTAGCACGGGAGATGTCCTAATGAAAAAACATTTCCCCACTTTATAAATTCTCTCTTAAAGGCGGAGTGCGGGACGAACAGCGTCAACCGAAAGTGCAACCCTCTGCGGACATCGTGCGTGTCGAGTGCGCGAAATGCAGGCGAGAGTGCGATTTGTCCGGTGCGCGCGCAACCCTCTGCGGAGATCGGGCGTGTCGAGTGCGCGAAATGCAGGCGAGAGTGCGATTCGTCCGGTGCGCGCGCAACCCTCTGCGGAGATCGTGCGTGTCGAGTGCGCGAAATGCAGGCGAGAGTGCGATTTGCCGGGTGTGCGCGCAACCCTCTGCGGAGATCGTGCGTGTCGAATGCGCGAAATGCAGGCGAGAGTGCGATTTGCCGGGTGCCCGCGCAACCCTCTGCGGAGATCGTGCGTGTCGAGTGCGCGAAGGGCAGGCGAGAGTGCGATTTGGCGGGTGCCCGCGCAACCCTCTGCGGAGATCGTGCGTGTCGAGCGCGCGAAAGCAATCTGTGGAGCTGGAAGCTGAGAACTGGCGACTTTGTGGTACAACTTTAGTACGCAGAGTAGCTGGGGAGCTGGAAGCTGAGAACTGGCGACTTTCTAGTACAACTTTAGTACGCGGAGCAATCTGTGGAGCTGGGAGCTGAGAACTGGCGACTTTGTAGTACAACTTTAGTGCGCAGAGTATCTGGAGAGCTGGAAGATGAGCGCTGGCGACTTTGTAGTACAACTTTAGTACGCGGAGTAGCTGGGGAGCTGGAAGCTGAGAACTGGCGACTTTCTAGTACAACTTTAGTACGCGGAGAAATCTGTGGAGCTGGGAGCTGAGAACTGGCGACTTTGTAGTACAACTTTAGTACGCGGAGTAGCCGGGGAGCTGGAAGCTGAGAACTGGCGACTTTCTAGTACAACTTTAGTACGCGGAGCAATCTGTGGAGCTGGAAGCTGAGAACTGGCGACTTTGTAGTACAACTTTAGTACGCGGAGTAGCTGTGGAGCTGGAAGCTGAGAACTGGTGAGTTTCTAGTACAACTTTAGTACGCGGAGCAATCTGTGGAGCTGGAAGCTGAGAACTGAGAACTGGCGACTTTGTAGTACAACTTTAGTACGCGGAGTAGCTGGGGAGCTGGAAGATGAGCACTGGCGACTTTGTAGTACAACTGTAGTACGCGGAGTAGCTGGGGAGCTGGAAGATGAGAACTGGCGACTTGGTAGTACAACTTTAGTACGCGGAGTATCTGGGGAGTGGGAAGATGAGAACTGGTGACTTGGTAGTACAACATTAGTACGCGGAGTATCCGGGGAGCTGGAAGATGAGAACTGGCGACTTGGTAGTACAACTTGAGTACGCGGAGTATCTGGGGAGCTGGAAGATGAGAACTGGCGACTTGGTAGTAGAACTTTAGTACACGGAGCAATCTGTGGAGCTGGAAGATGAGAACTGGCGACTTTGTAGTACAACTTTACTACGCGGAGGCGACTTTCGAGAGGTGAAGAACTTGCAGAAGACAGGTGTTCCTGCGCTTCAGAAAGACATACAGAGAGAGAGACACATACACACACAGACATAGATACACACACACAGAGACCCACACACTGCCTCAACACACTCGACTTAACACTTCACACTGAACACTTATAACACACTTAACAGATAACTCGCACTCTGACTTCCTACGTGATGAAAAATGCTTTCGGGCCACTCGTCGTCTAGTTGTAATGTTTTGGCGGCTTCAGACAGCATACGGTTGTCTGACTTTCACGCTCTCCGTTCCTCTTGTTTGTTCGTTTTGGTTATTTTTGGGTTTGGGAATTACCCGAAATCAGCTCACAATATAGCAATTATAAAAACAAGAGCTAAAGAAAGAAGCAGGAGAAGGAGGAGAAGGAGAGGAACAAAAATGGGACAATTTTTTGGAATCTTTGGCCCTGGAATGAAGCGGCCCAACCTAGGCACACCTCCAAGGCCAGACACACTGGCTTTCAACCTGGCTCCCAAAAAGGTTGCAGATAGGCCCTTTCTTTGGCCCAAAACAGAGTGTGGCCCAGAGTATTTAGTCCAATGCCCGTCGTGAGCTTTTTCATTAAACACCACGACTCTCGCAGGCTTCAATTGAGTTCGTGTTCTTTGCGACTTTTCTCTGAGTTGTTTGCTTTCCTTCCAGCTGCTAGTCCTGAGCTATCTCACGAGCGGGGGCAATGTGGTTCGTCATGTAACGAGTGAAGATTTTTGTATTTGTAGTAGTTTGGAAGGTCTCACTTCCATTTTTGAGTACCTCCCATGCCAGGAGCCCCTAGTAGCGTCCTTGTTCCTAGTAGGCCAGGAGCCCCTAGTAGCGTCCTTGCTGGCCAGGAGCCCTGGTAGCGTCCTTGCTCCTAGCAGCAATGCCAGGAGCCCCTAGTAGCGTCCTTGCTCCTAGTCCTAGTAGCCATGCCAGGAGCCCCTAGTAGCATCCTTGTTCTGAGAGTGAGGGAGCGAAACTCAAGGAGTGTGAGTTGTTGTGAGTTGGGGTGGAGGAGTCGGAGGAAAGGAGGTTCGGGTCCAGGGCTTTAAGCCGGCCACTAAACCTTTCTTCCTTGTCTTTTGTCCTTGTTTCCGATGGCCTCCAACCTAAGAGCAATGGCCAGCAATGGCCTCCAGCCTATTAAACCTGTCGAAGTATATTGAACCTATGTCTAAGCTCAAGATCCGAAGGCTTGTTCGTGCCCCATCATGCCCCACCCATATGTTCCAGAAGGTACTTTGGAACCGCGCCACCGTCATGGACAGTTGCCTCGGGTTGTTCTTACCTGAAACCCAGGGCCGAACCTCACAACGACGTGAAGGTGAGACCAGATGCAAAGAATCGAAGACTCACGACACCGAAAACACCTAGATTTGCGTCTTGAAATTGCTTCCATGAAGCTGTGTAAATTTAGATGCAAATCATTTGCCACTTTGCTTGTGGCTTTATTTCTTTAGCCAGCTTTGTAGGGGCAAAGAAGCAACGCAAACACACAACAAGACTCACTGAATATAATTGCATGCTACACGGGTGAGGCCAAAGAGTCGTTGGATCTCAACCGGATTTACAAGGCGCTATCGGTCCGCATTTTGCAAAGGGACTCTACAGTATATCACGACTCGGGCAGGTGTTTTCTGTTCCCCCATGGCTTTGGTGGCAGTGGAGCTATACAGAGCACAAGCGAGTATGGTAGTAGACACTAGTCCACATCTACTGCAACTGGCGCATCATTTTGGCATTGGAATTCAAAGCGCTGGTCGCCGAGCGGCAAGTTGCCAAGAGATCGCCCAGAAATGGCTTTTCTAAATTGCTCCAGCTGTTCTCAGCTTTTGTGTTTTTTGAAGCCACAAGATTTGGATGGCACGTGGGCGCTGCCAGGTGGCCAGCATAGTCGACTTTTGGCGGAAGCGTGACGCTCCTTCAATTGGCAGTTGTCTCAGGAACAAACCGAGCACCTTTCCGGCAAGAATGCAAGTTAGGCCTTTTGTTTCCTGGCCCGTTGAACCTTCTATTCTCCCGTGGATGCCTACAGACTGATCGGCACTCCTCGTTTGTTTTGCGCTTTAAGGTCAGTACTTTGAAGATCATCCTGAAGTGCTGCCTGAACCAGACTCTGGAAGGTGAATCGGCGCAGTGAAACTTGTGAATTTGTTCTTATCTTTAAGCTTAGCACGTTGCTATTAGGTTGGAGGCCACTACTAGGACTAGTAAGGATGTATATAATAGAACCCTCGCCGTAACGGTTTCAAAAGTTAACAAAGTCTTTGGAACTCCTTTTGCCACTAAGCATTATTGTTACTAGTAGTACGGCCAGGAGCCCCTAGTAGCGTCCTTGCGCCTAGTAGCGATGCCAGGAGCCCCTAGTTCAATTTGTTTTCTTTGGACCTGTAGACCGTAGGCAATTTTTGCTGTCTTTGTTTTTTTTGCGCCAAGCCCATGCTTCCCCAGGCCGGTGCACGCCCTGCTCCTGAATTTCTTTGCGATGCAGCTGTGGAGCAAGCCTTACATAGACTGTTTGCCGTGGTCGTTGCTGTAATCTCCTTCCTTTGTATTGGGTTGGAGGCCGATACTAGGTTGGAGGCCATCGCTAGTAGGTTGGAGGCCGTTGCTATTAGGTTCAAGGCCGCAGCCGTTTCAGACTTCAAGTCTTGAAGTTTCACGTGCTCTGAGGGCCCGAATATGGAAAGAGCTTGGCCTGAACAGCCGCGTACTCAGCCGTGGGGCACAACAGTAACGAATTTCGACCGAGCCTGAAGAAGCACAATGTGCTTTGCAGGTGGCAATGAGAGCATAGAGCCGGAGGCTTCCACAGAAACTTCGACATGGTTGGCAGTTCGTTCGCTCTTTGCGCGAGGCGTTCAGAGCATTAGATGCTGACGGTGATGGTGTTGTGTCGAAGGATGACCTCAAGAACAGGCTTCAACAGGCATGTCGGAGCAAGCCACTGTTTGTATGACATCCAAGTAGGCATATTGTCAAAACAAGGCAGTTCTTTGTTTACTCCGAGAGATAGAAGAATGGAAGGAGGGAAGGGAAGGGAAGGACGAAAGGACGAAAGGACAACAGGTTGGAAGTTGGGTCTAAAGAATTCAGACGGCCCGACAAATAAAGAGCAGAAAAGAGAAGAGGTCTTTGTACTTATATTAAAACTATTTTTTGGGGAGTGGATGGTTCACTGGAAGCAAGAAACCAGAAAGGAAAGGTCTAAGAGTCTAAAGGCATTAAAGAACGACAAGAATAGGACAAAGTATAGGGATTTCTGTTTCTCGTACCCTTGTCTTTCGCAAGCGAAAGTGCAGAAATTGAAGAACTGGATAGACTCACATATCAACCGTTGATGTAAAGCAAGTTGTTACGATACCATGTGTTGTACGTAAGTAGGCATTTTGCGCGTGAGGACTTTGTGCCGCAAAAGGACATGAACAACCTGTGCACCAAGTTTGCACGCCTTTTCGAGGTCCACGCGTCGAGGTATCTACCGATCAGCTGTTCTTTCCCCGGCTGTGCGAAACCCTGCGCAGTGTCGTCTCTTCGTGTGCACGTTGCAAAGAGTTCCGTCGCGTAGACATAGATCGAGACTGACGGGTGTGCGCTCCAAAATGCTCGGATTCTGTCAGAAACTTCCTCTTTCATGAAACGTGTGCGTGTGGAGAACGAAAAGGGTGGACGCTTGACGTGTAAAGTTTGGCTTGCACATGCTCGGTAGACTCTGTCAGTCTGCGTGCGCACAAGCCAAAGCAGGACGGCCGTGCTCACCAATCCGGATCACGCCAGGACGTGGAACCCGGGCAGGGCATCACAAGGCGGACTTGCGTCAAAAGCCGAAAATCACATCAACTTCCCGCCGGTAGCACGAGGTAGGTTTGTGGATTCCGGACAGTGCGTCGTAAGGATGTAGCGCATCTCGATCGAAAATGCCACAAGTGCGGAAGCTGGAGAGGCCTCTAGAGACCTCTAGACTCGAAATGCAGTTTAAGCAGACAGTCCACACAGACTGTCTCACGATGATGACTCTAGACGCGAAGCTGGACTGCGGAGTGCAGTTGGTCTTGGGTGTCCGGAGGCTTTCCTCACAGTAGTTTGCGAAGAGGATGCCGCGAATCCATTGGGTATCTATCTAGCACTTTTAAGTTGTTGTGACCTCATTGCTACCACCATCTTACGCGAAAGGCTCGCATATTGCAAGAAGATGAGACAAAAGGTGGGAAAACAAGAACCTGCAAAAAATATGAAAAACACATATAAGGACGAAGAGAACAAGAGGCAAGAAAAGTCAAAAAAGGAAACAGCAGAGGGGAATCATGTTGAAGATTTGCAACAGCCGGATCACTGGACTAGTGGAAACTCTGAGGCCGACAGGTTAGCAAAATGTTGCGCCAAAGAATATTGGGAATCACATCAGCTTTGAGCGAGAACACGCCTAAAAGGCAGCGATAGCCACTCAAGGTCACATAATCGCGACTTAGCGCCAACGTTTCCGGATAATATAGCCAAGCGACAGTCATAATGCATTCGGATAAAGCCCAGAGTTTCCTCATTTTCCGAATCCTACAAGTGCAACTGTTCCGCCCGGATCCGTTTGCGGGAAACACTTTGCTTGTTGCAATCCCCGAACTTGTCAGTCTCAATCAGTAGTTGTCCTGCAGCCCGAAAATTACTTCATTCAGGCCTGTTCGAACCAGGCGCTGACTCAACAACATATTGAGGATATCAAGCAACATTATCCTCGTTTCAGTTTGGCTTTTGGGGCTGAGCCTCGAAATTAGAGGCTTATGTTGACGTCACTCCTCACCGACTTGCAAAGTGTCAACATCGTATGATTGGGTTTTGCTCGGTTGTTTGTTCGGGTCCCGTGGCTCTTGCTTTTCCTGCGATTTTGTATCTGCACTCCGACTGTAAATGCTTATTTCGAAAAGTGTGTGTCACTGCACGCTTCAGTATGCATGTTCAGATCCCCTGGGATGGACTTGGAAGTTGAAAGGCGATGACGTTCTCAGTGCGAAGCATATTACTTCATTGCAGAAGCTTGGAACGGGCAGGTTCAGTGGTTTTTCTGGCTTTGGCACTTTCGTCAATCCTGTGCATATCTGGTTCTTCCTTCTCCGTCTCGCTATCTCCCTACTTACGGGGTTGCTTCCCTTCACGAACATCACCTGGATTAGTGCTCCGTGCTCTCCTTTTTCGTTGGCTGTGATCCTGCGTACCTCGGCCGCAGAAAAATCAGAAGGCACAGATTCAGACTTTGGACGCCCATGCTACAAACATATGTGCATTATGACCAACCACCGGCTGACATTCAGAGAAGTGCGTGTGTTTCTATAGGTTGAGAGATTGTGAAACATCACTTGTAACTTAACCGCATGATGTTGGACACTCAGTTTTGAGTGGAGACAGCTCGTGCAAAAGTGCAACGTCTTCCCAAAGAAACCTTTGAACACCCTAATCCCCAATGGCAATGGTCACAAACAATAACTTCATGTTGAACGTTTCCAGCATTTTAGCTGACAACGCTGTGCTTGGACAGTCTTGCGACTGAAGCTTCGCAGAAATATTTTAAATTCAAAATGTAACTGGCAAGAAACAAGGAAAAAAGGAAAATCCAAGCAGCACACGGGCCAAAATTGAACAAAGAAACCCACTATATATAACTTATTTATATATATATATAGGTGAAACGCGGTGTTTTCCCAAGAGGTCCGGGCAACTGAACCAACCACCGAGTTCAGGCAACGCATCGAAGGGCTGCAACCGTTGAAGAGCAAATGTAGTCTCCCGCACGTTATTCAACAAATTGCAAAAGACGAAAAGCTAAGGACGCTACCAGTAGCTTTTTGGCTCCTAGTAGTAATGCCCTTGTTACTAGTAGCGAGGCCCTTGTTACTACTATAAACGTTTTTGAAATCAATATGAAGACGAAAGTTAACGCTCACAGCTTCATGCGGAGCAGTGAGTGGATGGTGGGATGGACAAAGTGGAGATGGAACAAGGAGATGCTGAATTCAGAAGATAGAGAGAGAGATATAGAGGATTATAGATAAGCAGTTCTGTGTTGACAAATGCAGTCAAGGTTCATCAAACAAACAGCAAACACAAAGATTAAGAATATCGGGACCTTACAGAACAAACCGTTCAAAAGAGTCTGAGGTTTTAACTGGAGTTAATAAACCCCAGAACTTTGGAGCAACAAAAAGGCTAACACCAGAGCAACTAGAGACCTGATAAGATGCGACAAGAGACAACCTCCGTCTTCGGAGTTCGCTAGTCCTCACTACTTCCCACATCTCTTTACAACTGCCAGTTGCTTCGAGTAGCATTTTTTGATTGGCCTGAAACCAATGTTTCCTTGGAGTTGTGCCAGGTTTCTGGGTTCGAGCATGTTTTCGAGGGCATGGATGTCCTCGTTGACAACATGTTGAGCAGTCGCCTTGGGAGATGTCACAGGTCTGAGAGGGAACTAACGGAACCATGTGTTTACCATGTGGTTACCTGTTGTGCTTCTGTTCCACGAAGATGCAATGCATATGCAGATGCTGTAGCCATTGCCAAGTCATTGCCTTTTCGAAGGTGCAGCGTGACCCGTTTGTCACGGTTTCGTAGTTTTGTTGCTTGTTCGTTGCAAGGTGTGTTCTGCACGTTTCCAGCCGTTTCAATATGCAAACACTGCCCTTTGCCAATGTATCCATCTCCATGATATTAAAATCACCAAGCTTAAGCTGACCTGCTCCTACACGACCTTGTTGAACAGATTTTCGCACTGTCCCATGATGGATCCCCATATATAGACAGGAAGGCGAGACCCCCTTTGAAGGGGCCGTACCGTTGTTTTTAACCATTTCATTTTATGTTGTTCTTTTGGCTTTCCATGGGCTCGCCATAGCCTTACCAGGGCCTCATGTCCTTCCATGGAGTTTTATAACATGTTACATGAATTCCTCCCGTTGCTCCATGAGTTCTCAGAAGTTGCTACATTCAAAACAACAGCTCGTGAAACTCAATGGGTTGACTTCGTGACATTGTCTTGCCCTCTCCTCGTGACTGTCGTAGTTGTGTTTGGATTCGTGCACTGTTGCTATGTGTTGCTGCTGGCTTTGGGGTGATTCAATTTGTCGAACTTGCCAGCAGTTGCTCTGGTTGTTTGCGCCGCCGTTAAACTTCGGCGGTTCTCCTTTCAGTCCCTCTATTAGCCCTTGCTTTGCTATCCCTACTTTGAGACAGTTTTTCCTGCCATCATTGCTCTTGCCTTGGCCCTCGCCAGCCTCTCCCTTCACTTCAGGAGCGAATTCCTGATAGCCCTCGTTCTTGATCAGTTGAACCCAATCCATCTCTAGTAATCTATTTGCAATGGCCCGAACCTACTAGCAATGGCCTCCAACCTAATAGAAATGGCCTCCAACCTACTAGCGATGGCTTCCAACCTACTAGCGATGGCCCCGCAACCTACTAGCAATGGCCTCCAACCTACGAGCGGTGGCCTCCAACCTAATAGTGATGTCCTCCTACTAGCGATGGCCTCCATCTCTAAGTTGGATGGGTTTCAGTTCTTGCTGTCCTTTTGGTATTTGTGGTGGACCGCTGCTAAAGTGTTTCTTCAAGCAAAGCTGACTCGTCGTCAAAGTTCTGCCCTCTGTCAGAATTGAAGGAGCTTGGCCTAGTTTGGCCAAGGTCTTTCTTCCTTCTGCTTTCTTTTTGCTCCTCTCCGGTTGCAGCTTTGGGCTTCTTCTAGCTGAGATGGAAGTTGCTCTTCCCTACTCATCAATGTCACAGTCACAGTCCTTAAGCCGGTTCTTGTGGCAAGGATTCTTTGAGTAAGCTTGCCTCATGTGTTTGCCCTACCATGCCCTAAAACAGGCAACCCGGTGGCTACGCCTTAAATTTTGAAGGCTTGCTCAGCAATCTCAGCTGCAAACCTTCAATACTATAAAAGCGGCTGAAGTCATTCTTCGGCAACAGTGCCTTTCACTGGTTGACTTGACTCAAAAGTGCCCTCAACATTAGTGGAAAAGTCTTGGTGCGTGTGCTGTGGAGACATAGATGAATCGGTTAATGTAGATTTGTGAAGGTGCAGGTGTCGAGCCATTGGTGCGGAATACGACGGCAGAAAGTGTTGCCTTTTCGGATCCCATCATTCTGTTGACCTTAGTAGCGTCCTTGCTCCTAGATCTCCTAGCAGCGATGCCATTTGCTACTAGTAATTACCCAAATTCAAAGTTACGGAGTTCTGAACTTTCATTTCTATGCGGCCCGAGGCGAAATAGCAAAATTTGGACAGCAGGATAACGGTCTCAGCTTGGAGCCAAGACAGGCAGTAACAGGCATCTCTTTGAGAGAGTTGCTAAGCTCAGAGATGTTAAGATTTTAAGCCTTACAATGAGAGAGGGAGAGAGAGAGAGAGAGAGATTTCATAGACACTTGCTACAGGCCTGCAGTGTAACAAAGCAGACACTTGCATGTGCAAGCGGCACTTGCAAAGATGTAGTGGCATTCGAAAAAGCTCCTAGTAGCGTCCTTGTTCCTAGTAGTAAGGCCAGGAGCCCCTAGTAGCTTCTTGCTCCTAGTAGCGATGCCTTTTGCTCCTAGTAGCGTCCCCTACAGCAAGTCAAAGCGATCAACGGCGACTGCACGGCGCTGCCCTTTTGGTTGGGCGAACCCCTCCCCGCTTGAGAGGGTAGCGGCGGATCAAACATGAAAAAAACTCAAGTGCCAGCGAGCACTTCACAAGCTGAACATACGGTAACATGTTTGGTCCTTGGAAAATTGGCTGTCAGCCGTTGCGCAACTCAATCCTCAGAGGTCAGAGACTGGCCACCTTGGGTGGACGTCATTTGGAGGTACGATCCTAGTGACTAGTGCTGCATACTGCACAAGGATGGAACTCATCGTGCGCTCGGGTGTCCCGTCCCTCCACTGATCTCCAGTGGTAGTCCAAGTGCCACCGACTGCCTTGTTTGCAGATCAAGACCCCTCTGGTGAACAGGCATTCGGACTGGTGGGAGTTCATTTCACGAAGGCAGCGGTGCACTCACGCTGGTTATTTGGGGGAGGCCACTGCTATTAGGTTGGAGGCCATTGCTGCAGGTGTCTAGCAGCTAGCATTTTCTATGTTAGGGTATCCAGTGCTTTGTGGCCTTCCCATGCAGGCTGCTGAGCTTCATTTCGCTCTGGACCTCCTACATCTTGAGTTCATTTCGTAGACGTCTGGTGACCACTGTCTCGTCATTCTGCGTTCCCACTTCAGGTCTCGTAGGTGGTCTGTTTCTGCTCCAGCGGCCCAGCAGGAACCCAGAGCCGGAATTCCCTGGCGGGAGGCAGCGCAAGGAACAGCCCTCGTGCAAGACAAAGTGTCGTGCAACTCTTATAGTCTTATAGTCCTTGTGCATGCTGCGCCCGACATGGCTAGGGACTATGCTGAGCAGGTACGGCCTCCCTGTACATATAGTGATGTAGTGAGTGGGTGCATGAGGCCTTGAGCCCATTCCGAGTTGAGCCTACAACCGAAGGAAAACGTCTTACCTACACGCCCTGTAACCCCGATGAGGGAGACAAATGATCAATTTCCAGACTAAGAGAAACCTGCTTCCATCGCATGAAGCTTTGGCCCCCCCAAAGGTGAGGAAGCCATTCAGGCAGCTGCAAAGCACTGGTCCAGTCGAAGTGTGGGCCTCAGCCACAGTCAGTGGTGTTGGGACGGCTTGACACAAATTCACACATTTTCACAACACTCTCATATTAAGAAGCTACTAGGAACAAGTGCATCGCTACTAGGAACAAGTGCCTTACTAGTAGTAACAAGAAGCTATTATATAGAAGCAACATGTTTTGTCGGGCCTCCCCCCAATAGTGGCCTCCAACCTAAGAGCGATGGCCTACCGGCCTACCGCCATTTTGAGTTGGCCTTGTGCGAAGGTTTGTCATCCTTGCTGGATTCGGATGAGGAAGGTTCAGATGGCAATTGATAGTTCAGCGCCAAGATTCCCAGGCAACGAGACTGGGAAAGTTAGGCGTTGGGCCAACAGCTGTGGCAATTCATTTAATTTCTTTCGGTAAGTTTGGCCAGCGATCTCTTAAAGAGGCCGGCGGCGCCAGAATCATTTTGAACAAGAAGATCTACAACTTAGTTTGTTCAAAAGGCGCAAGAAAAGGCCACTGAACAAACTCAAGGCTCGTGTGCTGATTTGCTGACTGGCGTTGGAACTCCCAAGAGAGCAGTTGTACACACAAACGCAGCTGAATCGCTTGCGAGGCCTTACAGTAAGTAGCTGCCGTAGGTAGATCTGAGTTGTCCTCCAAACTAGACATAATTTTTATCTCCAAGGAAACTTGTGGTGTTTGGGTGTCATAGGTTTCATCATTTTTGGACCCCCATTGAAAAAGGGCTGTCGGTGCCGGTGCATAGCGTTCTTGTTTCAAGTGCGTGTTGACATGCAAACTGATGCGGACAACCCCTGCAACCACTTTGCCACTTTGCATTTTTCCCTCTCCGATGCTTGCATAGGAGGGCATGTTTGACTTGCACGTTTCGTTGTTGGCTCGTGGACTAGCCACCCAACTTTAGATTCCACCAGCTTTGCCATTGGCAGGTCCCACTGCAGAACCATCAAGGTATTTGGAAGTCACTTGTTTTTTTCAATCTTGTTGACTTTGTGCCAGTACCTTTTAAACAACTTGTGCATGCACTCGGGTACATCTGAGACCTCAACAAGTGTGAAGATGGGCTGCCCTGACATTCCCAAAAAACTATTGACATGTGTTTCACCATCTGGGTGCAGCCATGAGTGGAAGACCGACACAAATTTGTGGGTGATTCACTTTCACCGGAAGTGACCGCGCCTTAGTGAGTGGTGTGAGGGGTGGTGCCGGCGATTTAATCTTTGGCCGTCGTGCGTGGTCAGGGCTTAGCCACCATAGCTCCTGCATGTACAGTTTAGCATTCCCCACGGCCCCACGACAAGAGGATTCTTAGGTTGGGTCAGGGAGCCTTGCAGTAACTCAAGAAAAATAGCTTCTTGTTTCTACTAGTAAGGCACCTGTTACTACTAGCGTGGCACTTGTTTCTAATAGCTTGGGTCAGGGAGCCGTGCAGTTTCAGGCTCAGCCCTTTGTCTCACTGCAGATTTGCTGCAGGACCCAATGGCGTCAGACGGCTACCGTTATGACCAGGTGCCAACTGCAATTGAAAGGATGCGCCGCGTGCAAGCAGAAGAGTTGGGCTAGATAACACCGTGCTGCCAGCATGCTGTGCAACACGTGATGTCATAAGTGTTGCAGTCCGCTGAAGATTGCATTTGGTTGGTTTGCGCTAATTGCACGTTAAGGATGCAAATGATTCGATGTAAGCAGTGGCCATCCACCTGCCCAGAGTAACCTGTGGTCTAGTGCCTATGGCTCGAGTACGGATCGATGGATTGGCCAATCTCACGTAAAATTGATCACACAAGCTTTGGCTTCCTTTTTCTCGTGTTATTCCCTTTATCTCACGCACATTTACGATAGCGTTGACTGACATAAAAGGCCCACCAAGCATATCCTTTGAATGCAGCCCTTGCCCCAGCCACGGCGTTCCCCACAGCATTCACTTGGCTGTCCACTCCTCATCCCCTTGGCCAGGAGCTACTAGAAACAAAGGGCATCGCTACTAGGAGCAAGGATGCTACTAGGGGCTCCTGGCCTTACTACTGGAGCAAGAGGACGCTACTAGTAACAAAGGGCCACTCCCCATATCTTTGGACCCTTTAAGAGGTGCACGCATGCCCGGCCCAGATGGCATTTGCAGCATTGATCTCGCCCACAGACAGCCTGAGGTTGAGGCCATGTGCAATTGAAGCCTACATGCAGCTTCAGCAAGAGTTTGACAAACTGAAGATCAACAAAGACAAATCAGGGTTTCTTGCGGACACTCTCCAAGGCAAGATCTAGCTGGAAACAATCTTCCGAAATCAAATATCTGCGACCTCGGCATGGATGCTATGGAAGCGTGCAGCAGGATGCGTTTTGTGCAAAAACAACACCTCAGGAAGAATTCACACTGCCAAGCAGGCTGCGCTGCGCAAGGAGGAAGGCGGCTTTGCAATACAATCCTCATCCCAGTCCCACAAGGAGGGCACCAAGAGGTCTATCCCAGAGCACTGTCTACTGCCTTCGGATGCAATGTGGACGAAAAACTCGGAAGAAGCATGGATGCCACCTCACTTGAGCCCTTCGCAGCACGAAGGCCGCAAACTCTTACACAACCTGCAGAACACCTGCAGCCAGATCGCGACCGGGCCAATAGCAGACACACACACACACACACACTCTCCACCCTCAAAGACCTCTCCAAATCGATTTATGGCTCGATTGCCGCAGACACCTTGAGGATTCCTGCTCACTTCCCAAGGCATCCCGGTGGAAAGCCTCTGGATTCTGGATGAAGGAGTTGATTGCACAGCAGGATGAAATTAAAGATACATCGAAAAGGGACCCCAAAAGCATTCACATAGCACACGCTTCTGCAAGGGGCCTTTTCACTGCTGAGCAGCATTGCAACCAAAACAAGCCTTGCTATATATAGATATAGATGTGATCTCGCACCAGGGAAATGGGATGGTCTTGCTGTTAATTGGGGGAAAAAAGGGCTGTTTTAGCAGGACAGCTAGATCTCCGTCAGAACAACTTCCTTGCTGAATGGAACATCAAAGTCTTTCAGCTTGACCCATCGCCACCACTGCTAGGGCGCTCTGACCTAAACTTAAGGCTCTTGAAATGGTTGCCCAAAACAAATTCCATATGCTGTGGCACTGTGGTCCATCAGTCTCATGACTTGGCCTTGAGAAACACAGGGCTTCTGTGCCGAACCTCCACAGGAAAAAGCTGTTTTTTAGTATGCTTCTCGCTTAAACAACAAACATCAAAAACACAGGCACTCGCTGACGTTCCAGTGCGAAGCAGATTGTTTGGTTTTTGTGGGTTTGGATTTTTTGCCCTTGGCTTGCTTTTTGCTTTGCTGTTGGCTGTTTTCCAGTCATGCCAATTTGAGCGTCTTTGGCTTGTGAGGCAAACGCTACACAAAATTCCTGTTCGTGTTCCTGGACACTTCTGACAATGTTTTTGATGGTTTTAGATGGTCTTGTTGTTTCCATTTTCTTTTGGCCGCCATTTACTTCCTTGTCAGGCTTTCCTCTCCAGTCAACTTTCCGCCCATCCCTGACCGCTGCACTGCAGCTTTCTGCACATTCTTTTGAATGGCCCCTTTGAAGCGTTTTGTGCCTCACTTGGACGCTCTCATTGGTTGACTGTCGACACCTTTGTGTGTCTTTAAAAGCATGTTTGAACAGGAGAGGTTCACACACAGATATATAGAATCTATATGGTATATATATATATATATGTGTGTGTGTATATATACATGTATACTGGATGCTCATTCCGGAAGGAATGTGACCATACGGGTGGGCACCCGTCTCAAGCTTTCGAAGGTGCCAGAGGATGAGACACAGAGGACGCCAGGCAGCTTCTGCAGTGAAGTTGTGATGCCCACTTGATCCTGATAGTGCAGCTGTGCGTTGGGGGAGTCTGGAAGACTCAAAGTTGGTGCTTTATGCCGTATTAGAGGAGCTCATTAGTTCAATCAATTCATTTATTTTTGGCATGCTTAGTCGATTTGCTCATCGTGACTTGGCTCAAACATCAATCTTTTTCCCAACTCTGGCACTTGGGTATTCCAGCTACACAGCTATTTCGAGAACCGCATTTAGAACAGATAGAGTTTTTTGTGTGCGCTTGTTCATTCAATGTCCCGAATCGCCATGGCCCGCAAGCAAGCCTTACAGCCGCTGACCATCGCAACTTCGTTCATGTATTTTTGGATTTGACGTTTCGATTAAGTTAGAAAGTTTCATCCCCAGGTTGAGGATTTTGACACTCATTTGATGGTCGCCTTCTGTTGTTCTAGCTTTTTTTCCCATCCCATTCATCGTGGTGAAACGATGCCGATAAATCCTCCACGTGGGGACCAAGCATGCGAAGTATCGTGCCATGAGCTGGCTCTCAGGTTCTCTTTGGATTGCTTTGCGTTCTGCAGCCCGTAACGTTTGTGGGCCCAGGCGGTTTCTTTACTTGCACGGCATGCTTGTGCATTTCCTTTTGGCAGGTGCGTCGTTTTGAAACACTTTCAGGCCGACAGCCCAACCAAAGCCATGTGCCGCGAAGGGCGTCTGACAGCTTTGGAGAGGCCCCCCTGGACAGAGGGAGACTTGTGGACGCATGCCTCTTGTTACAGCTGGAAGTATGAGAGTGCAAGGTCCCTGGGCTGGGCTGGATTGACTAGAGTAAGATGCAACCCTTCTGAGTAAGAAGGGCTGCTATTATCGCCTCCACTAGGCTGAAGAGCTGCTTTCTGCATGTAAGCAGGAAGGAAAGAAACAAAATCAGACATGAGGAAAACGCGCCTGACACGAAAATACAAATGAATTTTCATTTGAATGCGTGTAGCCTTTGCATGGCCACTCGTAAATTCGGCCTTCAGGCCCTTCAGCTTCCTCCCGAGCAGGTGGTGCAGGCTAGAGAAAAAGAAGCAGAATGCTAATGCTGTCTTGCTTTTGTGAGGGTGGGGGTGGGATGCTGCGGGGTCTCAAATTTCTCGAAATCACCATAGTCAACTCCGTAGGACTGCAAGGACGGTGCTAGTCCACTTTGGTGGTTTTTGAGTAGGTTATCTTAGCGCGCATGCATGCAGTTGCTCTTGGCCAGCATCCTTCGGCCAGTGTTCCTATTGACGATGTATATTTTGCTTCTGATGGAGGTTCTTTCGCTTCTAACCTATCGTGTCTTGCACCGGCTGCCAGTGTGTGATAATCTATGCTGATCGCTTACCTCACGACAATGCTGCAACCTCACACAATTGACGCAAAAAGTCAAACAAGTGGGGATCAGAGAGTTTCCTTGCCTTGTTTCCTCACTTTCTGCATTGTATTCAACGTGGGTTCGTTTGCTGAAAGTGGAGGCAGTGGGACAAGCTGGGCCGCGTGTAACGGCTTCTGATGTGGCAGCAGCTGGCGGTATGGGCTTGGAGGAGGCAGCTGCTTTAGCTGCTTCAGTTCTTTTTTTCCGTTTCTCTTATCCTTTGGTCCTTTTGACCTTTAACCAAGAGAGAGAGAGAGAGAAGTGCTGATAAGCTTTGCTGGGAAGTTTTCAAGTCAGGCCAGAAAGGGCCTGGTTTCAC